CCCCCCCCACATCCATCAGAAAAAGAGCTTCAGCATCTTGTTTTGAAACCTTTCAAGATCAACCCTATACCAAATGTCTAGCTGCCTTCTTTCATATAGTTACTGAAATGTACAAAAATGTTGAGTATCCTTTAAATAATATTTTTTAGTGTAACGTTTTTAAAAATTGATGTAAAAGTCCGTAAGGCACACCCAGTTATTTCACCAACAGAACTTCCAGTGCTGCGAAGCCATGTTCGAGGCTGTGGAGCAACAGGACCTGGATGCCGTCCAGGTTCTTCTTTACCAATACACACCGGAGGAGTTGGATCTCAACACACCTAATAGTGAGGGATTAACAGCTCTGGACATCGCTATCCTGACGAATAATGTGCCCATTGCCAAGATCCTCATGAAAGTTGGTGCAAAAGAGAGTCCACACTGTAAGTATCGCAGGATGCAAAAATAGCTGAATCATACTAAAAAGATTGAATGAATCAAAGGGGAAGTAGCACACAGTTCTTTACAGGGCTTTTTTTTTGTCATAGAACGTCCAGAACGGAGTTCCGGCACCTTTTTGGGATGGAACCTTGTAGGGTAGGCAAGGCGGGTTGTATGACATGTGTGAGGTTTTTTTTACAAAAAAGCACTGGTTCTTTAAAGCCACTTGTATTTTTGCTTGTATACAATCAATCAGCAAGAAGAAGAATCCTATCCTATCTGGATCATGGAGAACTCGTAGATGTTCCCATGGTTGCCTACTCAAAGGCTGAAGTGTTTATACCAAACAATTATTATTAAATGTATTTCCTCAGGATTTGTATGTGCCATTCATTCCATTTTACATTTGGTGGGGTCAAGATTCCTCTCTTTAATTCTGTCTTTTGGAACCATTTTCAATCATGATTCTATTATTGACCTTTTTTTTTAATTGAACTATGTTTACAGCTATGTTGTAACTTTGAAAGGTTGCTAAACAAATGGTTATAAGTCAAGGACTACTTATATGCCCCTGTCACTGTATTCTAACATGCTTTTTGCATTCAGATCCAAAAGCCTTGTATAACTTCACAAGCTGTGTAATAATTGAACACAATGCATACATGCCATAGTGGTGTGTAAATCATGGCAAACTAGAGTTAAAAGCAAATGTAGCCTAATATAATTTATAGAGCTGGCCAGTGAAATTTTGTTTTGAACAGATATGAATGGAATACAGTGCTAGTCATAAAATACCTTTTCCCCAGTTCTGTAAGAAGAAAACATACAGACTCTGCTGTTGTGGTTGCAGCCAGCTGTTGGCCTGGCAGGAGGACAGAATGGAACAAGGCAATAACAACCATTTAAATCATCCATTCATTCCAATGTGACTAGTAAATAAAGGCCCTGTAGATATGCCTGGAAAGTTTTGGTTTCCTTTGGATGTCAAGCTTAATACTCGTTTTTGCCCCCCTGGACATCTTAAGGATATTCATTCAAATCCAAATTTGAATCTGGGATTAATGATTTGAAGGAAGTGGTGCTGTGAGATGCTATAAAGCAGCATTTCCCTATATATTTCAGAAATTTAAAATGCTTAACCTGTAAAATTTTAATTCACACTGCCCTTTTTTTGTCACACCTCTTCAAAGTATCTTCATGTACGTATCTGATTGGAGAAAAGGATTTAATGAACTAGGTTATTTTAAGCCACAACTGCAGTAAAAAAAAAAAGTTTGCAAATGGGCATTTTTGAATAGTAGTTTGTATCACAGGCCAGACTCTCATGTGGCATATGATTGTACCAAAATGCGTTGCTGGCAAAATTTTGATGGAGCACGAGCTTTTATATTAATGTATAAGTTTCACTATCATACAAATGATGAATAAATCATAGAGATATAGAAAGATTGCAAAGATGGTTTTTGAAATAATGTGTTGAAAAACAAAAACTGGTAATACATAAAAATTCAATGATTAGACAAAAATCCCTTCCAGCAGAATTTTGCTTGGGTGAGATATACTAACTGAAAAACTCCCCTTTTAAATTGCTTGCAAAATACAATCTAAACAATCACTTCCTTTTTAAGGCTACTTGTATTTTTAATATTATGTAGCTCCCAAACACGTGATTTTGTTATTTAGCAGTAATGAATAAAAAGTCTTTGAGCTACCTATTAGTACAGCAAAATCCTGTATTTGGCAATAAAAATAAATTTCCTTCAAGTGAAGTTTCAATTCTTGTAATTATAAGGATATGTCCATAGATCACAGTATGAAAGCTGTTTGTTATTGCCTTCTTCAAGCTACTTTTTCAACTTCCCAATTTAGCTTACAGCCCTCAGATTTCCTGATGGTCTCTTATCCAAATCTGGCCCTACTTAGCTTTTAAGTTTATCTAAGATTCTGCCAGCTTGAAAAGTATGTGCATGTGTGTGCATGTATGCGTGTATGTGTGTATGAATGTATATAGATTAGTCCTCGACTTACGACCACCATGAAGCCCAACATTTCCATTGCTAAGCAAAGCAGTTATTAAGTGAGTTGTGTCTCATTTTAATCATGCAGTCCTTAAGCGAATCCGGCTTCCCTCACCGGCTTTGCTGTCGTACAAGCCAGCTGGGAAGGTCACAAAATGGTAATCACATGATCTTGGGACATTGCAACCATCATAAGTACAGGCCAGTCACCAAGCACCCAAATTTTGATCACATGACCATGGAGATGCTGCAACGGTCGTAAGTGTGAAAATCAGTCGTAAGTTGAGGACTACCTGTATGTGAATACCTACCTACCTACTGTATGTGTCTATATGTATGGGTGCTTGTTTATATGGGTGTGTGTGTGTGTGTATGGGTAGATGTGGATGTGGGTGTATATGTCTGCATGTGTGTGTTTGTGTGTATATATGTGTGCGTGTTTGTATATCTCAGGAACAATGATGTGTCATTTTATTTTATTTATCAAATTTTTACAACAGTCCCTCTCCCATCAATTCAGAGACAGGGGATCCGGGGTCCTCTAAAGGTGACCAAACCTTGCTTCTGATTAGCCCTGGTGCCTCAGAGCTGTCTGGGGTTCAGTCATATCAGAAGGAGCTCCCCGTGGATTCACCATCACCAGACTAACCTGAGACGAGAATTCATTGGCATCTAGAACTGAAAACAGCCCTCAGTAAGTTCAACTGCCCATAGGATGCATTCATTTTCAATAGCAACAAACCTCACAGGAAACCAAGCAATGGCAGTTGTAAATAAGCAGACAACCTAGAGCCAAGAGAGAGAGTTTGGGGTTCATTGGACCCCAGAGAGGATACCTGAGCTCTGGCTGGAAGATAAACCATCATCAACCACAGGTCTTCTTTGAACTTGCCTGTGGTACAGCACAGACTGCTCTCGGTTGACCCTTGTCCAAAGCCAGGCCTGTTGAGTACCTGAAGAACAGCTCACCTGCTTGATGACACTGCCCACTGTCTCCATTCAGGGAACCGTCCCACCTCATTTTTTCCCCCTTGTCTGTGTGCTTGCAAGGGGAGAGCATGTGATTTGTGGAATTAGCTAACAGTAGTTTAAACCGAGACTCAAATTCTGACATCTTACTTAGAACTTTTAGAATATGGAATAACAGAGTCAGAAAGGGACTTGGAGGTCTTCTAGTCCCATAATGAAACCATGTCTTCAAGAGCTCGAATTTAGAAAACTCTGCTGTTAATTTAAAGTTAGTTAAATTAATAACAGTTAGTATGGATCTGCCTGTCTTTGTGCTCCAGGGATTTGTACCTTGAGGCTACAATTTCCTGGCATTTTTTTTAAAAAAAACTGGCCTCCTTTAACTTTCCTGGGAGATTTTCTCTCTCTCCTTGGTTACTGTAGCTGTTCAGTGAAAAGAGTTGTGTCATTTAATATTTATTTGTTTATTTTTCTGTCATGGTTCGTGACTGGAGGGAAAAAAAAAAGAATCAGGGGTGACAGGGAATAAAGCACGTGATTGACATGATTGACGGCTGAAGTAACATTCATTAGGCATGACAAATCTACAGGAAAACACAGCCTGGAGTGTTCTAAACAGCAATTAAAAAAAACACACACGACTGAACTGATTTTTCATTGACCATCTATAAATAAATGCAGACTGATGGCATGGAGGGGCAATCGTAAATGAGTATTCATTTCCTGTCTTTAATGCAAACATGCTTGTGAATGCAGGCCAGGTACCTATAGCCACTTCATTTCTGTGGTTAAATAATGCACTGTGCTGATCACCATTTGCATTTGCTATCTCCATCCATTGGAAATCTGAAGAGGAGAATTTTATAAATAGATCACTACTGCAAGTGGGGTCCTTCTTCCAAAGCTGATAGCTAAGATGGGATGCAAATTGGTATCAACTAGGCCAGGGGTAGGCAACTTTGGCTCTTTTATGAGTCGTGGACTTCCACTCCCAGAATTCCTGAGCCAGCATGGCTCAGCTTGGAAACCTCTCCCTTTCCCCTCAGCATGGCTGGCTCAGGAATTCTGGGAGTTGAAGTCCAGGAGTTATAAAAGAGCCAAAGTTGCCTACCCCTGAACTAGATGCAGTGAGCTAATCCTTTATGTGGCAATTTGCTTTGCTTTGCTTTGCTTTGCTTTGAAATTCAGCCCGTACAAGTTGTCCTCGGCATACAATCACAACTGAACCCAAAATTTCTGTTGCTAAGCAAGGCAGTTGCAAAGTGAGTTGTGCCTCATTTTACAACTTTTTGCCACGATTGTTAAGTGAATCATGCAGTCCTTAAGTGAATCTGGCTTCCGTCATTGACTTTGTTTGTTGGAAGCTGGCTGGGAAGGCTACAAATGGTGATCACATGACCCCGGGACAGAGCCAGTTGCCAAACACCGGAATTTTGATCACGTGACCGTGGGGAATGCTGCAACAGATGTAAGTGTGAAAATCACTCCAAAGTCACTCTTTTCAGTGCTGTTGTAACTTTGAAGTGTCACTAAATGAACGGTTGTATCTGTATGGTGAAATATTATGTTTTGCATCTTCACGTGTAATGTGAGCCTATTTATTTTGGCTTATTCAACAAACTACAGTTAAAATAGACCATGACTTAACATGCTCTGGAAACCCTGCTATAATACCATTAAATATTTAAGAAGTTGTCAGAGTATTTAAAGACACGTTTCTATAAGAAATGAAAGGGTATTTGCATTTACCATAAATTGTTCGTGACAGTTGAGTGCGGTTATAGTTTAAATAACTGCCAAGGGATTCTGTATATATCTGTTTAAAAGTCTTTTAATCACTCAATAACCAGCATTTGGTGGGTTTGCAAACATAGTAAGTTAACAATACTGGTTTATAAACAGAGTGACCAAATTAAACAAAGTACTACTGTGCTTTGTCAAACATTTTATACAATAAAATGAGAAAAATAATTTTTGAAAAATTCCTACAATTCATTAAAATGCATTTTATTCTAACTTAAATTATTGTTGTAAATTTAACATCAGAAATGACATCAGTGTGGTCTTAAACATAACAAGCAAGGTCCAGAGTTACAATTTTACAATGCAATATATATTGTATATTACAATGCAAAACGTAGACAATTTAAAATGCTGAATCTAATAAATCTTTAGGGAGATGATATTCAGGTCAAATGCATTAGAGTAGTCTCTGTAAATCAGTAATTTGAACAAAGAAGGTTAGGAAAAGGAATTATCTTCATAAAGGTGCTTTTAATGTATATAAATTGTGAGTTCAAAATCTTACAGATGAAATGTATCAACTCAAATAAAGAAAAAATGGTTTAGTATATACTTGGAACAATCTCCACATGACATTTATGTGCTGTAATCCTCTTGCACATGAACTCAACTATATTTTAGTATCTTCTTTAATACAGTCTGGTTGTTTGTTTGTTTGTTTTTTAAATAATCATTTATCCAGAAAGCAAAAATGTGGCCTGTGCTAAAACGGTCGCATAATTGCTTTTTTGGTGCAATATTAAAAGCAGCCAACTCCATGGAGTGGCAAGTAAGCTGTTTAAGGATGCAGCAACAACGTTGCAGTTCCCTATAGGTCACAACTGCACAACATATCAATGTAACAAATTATCAGCCCTTCAAAGGAGGCCAAATCAAGAAACAAACATCACAGGGATTCCAGGAACATTATTGATGAAAGTATAATAACAGAATCTTGAAAGTCTGTCCAAATTTCTCTCTGTCCCATCTAGGCTAAAAAATAAATAAATAAGACACAGTTATTTTGAGTTTCTTTCTCACACTTGCTTCTGGATTGTACAATCCTTCCTTCAAGTCCCCTTCTTAATGGTTCTTTCATACTTTTCCAAACATCATCTCAAAATTCCTCTACCCAAATTTATTGCAGAGCCATATCTTTGAGCATTACTGACTGAGGCTAGAACCAAAGAAGGATTTCAGCCAAAGATTCAGGGACGCATCTCTGAGAAGATGCTCATTTTTGTAGATAGAAAACCAGCTATTAGTCCCTGCAAAGTGTTAAGGGTCAACCACAGATCTAGAAGACAGAAATTCAAATGTTATGTGTACTGTTTTCATCCACATACAGGTAAGACCTCAACTTCACAACTGCCCTGTTTAATAATGTTTGAAGTTAATGACAATGCTGAAAAAAATAACTTTGCAGCTTGTTCTCGCGCTTATGACCATGACAGCATCCCCATAGCCACCTGATTGAGATTCAGATACTATACAACAGCAGGTGTTTCCAACTGTTACAACACCCCATGGTGACTCGGTTGTCATTTGTGTGCTTCACCATCAACTTCCAACAAGCAGAATCAATGGAGAAGCTGGCACTAAAATTGCAAGTTGGGTCCCATGATATTTCACTTAACAACTGCACTGCATGGCAACTCCATTGGTAGTCAGTAAATGAGGACTACCCGTATTTTAATTGAGAACCAGTTGGTTCTCTCTGGAACAGTAGATGACACCTTTACAGGTTATTGTAACAGACTGGTCTCCATCCATGGGTTTACCCACAAGGATGCAGGGTAATACTTTTTAAAGTACCCATATTTCTCATACACTGTATTCTCTCATATATGATCTCGTATAAACTCCTCTGTCCTCAAAGCTGATTAACTTCCAAATTTTCCTTTGAAAAGTCCCGGAACTTAACCCAGTTCCTCTTCCTAGCAGTTGTCAGCGTGGAAGGCAGATCCGTCCATCTGAGCAACTTAGTCCAAGAAGCTCAGCAACGGGTGAGTGACCTGTCTGCACAAGTCATGAGTGAAAGTCTCGGCACAGACAGCTCTGAGAAGGAGAAGCAGCTGAAAGCCTGGGAGTGGAGATACCGGCTTTACAAACGCATGAAGTCCAGCTTTGAACATTCCAGTAAGAGCCATGGGGAGAAATGTTTGGATGAGTGAAATGTGTAGAACAGAAATAATTCATAACACAGACTGGGTTTCCAGGGATTTCTCCTTAGTGTTTCAGTTGAGCAACTAACCTGGCTTGACAAATGGGTTACAGATAGAACAGCAACCTGCCTGCTCTTAAAATAAGACAAGCGCAGGATTAGAAAAGAATTATTCAGTTGTCTATTCGTAGAGATGGACATTTATCATAAGGAAGGTTAGCAACTATTATTAGACCTTCTTAAGGAACCAGCTTGAAACAGTAGAAGGACATCTTGCTTTGCGATATAGTAAAATACGTTTCATATCCAGTGCAGTCATGATGTCAGAAAATATGAAATCTTTAACAAATAATCTATGTTTCACACGCAGGAAAGTTTTAACTGCTAAAACTTTGCCAGACTGACAAATTCACAAACGTGCATTAAAAACAGCTTCTTATATTTGTTTTTAAAAGTTATAAAATAAATGATATCTAAACATACAGCACAATCAGTGTCTAAATAATTCTAAATGCAAATTGAAATTAATTAGCTCTTCCATTATTCTGTCCCCTTGGCAGAGCCTGGGTGACTGAGGAAATGTCTGATGGTGATATTCTAAATCTTGTACTGTGCTTACATATAAGAACGTGCCATTAAAGATACGCTGTATTCTCCCAAACAGACGAAGAGAACAAGGGAAACCAATGGTGTCAAGCAGTCTCATTAGCATAGATGCCTTGTTTTCATTACAAACACAAGCGACTTCAGTAGAAAGCTCGCCCAGGTTGCACGGTTTCGACTCATTTCTTCAATGACCCAGGGCAGGGTTGGAAAAGTATTTGTTCCGCATGGAGTGCAGTGTTTTTCCTCTGTTCGCAGGAGCCCCCGAGGCACCAACCAACATCTGCCTTATGGTAACAAGCAGCACATCACTCACTGTCACTTTCCAAGAGCCTCATAGCATCAATTCAGCAGTGGTGACAAAATACAAAGGTAATAGATTTGTATCGATTTCATAAGCTTTCATTAACGCACGTTAAATGAAATGGAGGGCTTTATATCTTTCTTTGTAGTTGAAAGAAGTTCCCCAATCTGACTTGGATTAGATATGAACTATATTTGATTTATTTTAGTAATGGGAAGACAATCTGACACCTTAAACCCACATGTGCCTCAAACTTCCTCCCTTCCTCTTCTGTATCTCTCTTCAATGAAAGCATGTTTAAGCCCTAACATGGTCTTGATAGTAATTAAGAAAAGCTAGAAAAGACACAGAACCCTCCCTGCCCAAACCTAGGAGAGGAGAGGGGGGAGGGGAGGGGAAAGGAAGGGTGGGGAGGGGAAGGGAAGGGAAGGGAAGGGAAGGGAGGGGAAGGGAGGGGAGGGGAGGAGAGGGAAGATCATAGCCCTCTGTTTCTCATATACCAGCCACATATACCCCAGGTAGAACATCTCAATATGATATTGAAATGCAGAACTGAGACACTCACTCCTCAGTTGTTGGTTTTTTCAGGATTCACAGCTGAACATTTGTAACAGTGAGTGCTAGTCTTCCTTTCTATTAGCATGTGCAGCTCACAATGTTTTACTTCCCATCATCGTTTGGGGAAAATAGTGTTTTGACTTAGTACAGTTTGTCTTCATTTTGCTCCTGCCATAATTCCCTTTATTCTTCACAAGTCCTTAAAGATTCACCTTCCGTTAATTCATCTATCGATTGATACTATCCCAGATGAGAAAAACGTGAAAGGAAGCTGAAAGTGGGGGCCATTCCTTAATGAAAGCCACAAGGTGTTATTATGGGGAAAAGCAGGAGGAGGCATCACTATCTATACATTGCTCTGAATTCCTATATGAAAGGCAGGAGATTACATTTATACATAAATAAGGGGAGGAATATTTGTTTCAGTAGTAACTAGGGATTATCACAAGAGCCACCTAGTTACTTATCTGCTACTTCCTGGTGGTGTTTGGGGTTACCATCCCATTTCACTGAAATCTAGATTTTTCAGTTTCTAGAGCCATATACAGTTATAACCACAAGAGAGCTCTGGCCTAAAAGTGGAATTTGTTATGTTGTTTGACTGCACGTCCAAATTAACTTCCCCCAATGTCATCATTGGCATCCTTCAGTCTCGAGAGACCATGGTATCGTGCTCTGGAATGAGGTCCTAAGGCAGCATCTGGTGTTGCTGAAAAGGCCAATTCGAGAATGGCAGTCCCTTCCACACTGAGGGCAGATACAATCTGTCCCCTGTCCAGCCCCCAGATTTCGCTGGTTCTGGGACTGCCTCTTTGCTTCAGCCTGCCGCACAAGTGTCTCTTCAAATTGGAGAAGGCCATGCTGCGTCTTTAGCCTCCAGGCTGAACGATCAGAGGTCAAGGATTCCCAGCTGTTAATGTCCATTCCCAAGGCCTTTAGGTCCCTCTTGCAGATATCCTTATATCGGAGCTCAGGTCTCCCTCTGGGGCACTTTCCTGCACTAGTTCTCCATACAGGAGATCTTTTGGAATTTGACCTTTTAAATGTGTTGGATGGCTCACCCATTATTATCTCTCAGTTTCTATAGGCCATAGTGATTGAGAACTATGGAATCTGGAATCTCTCCATGCAGTATTTGAGGCACTAGCTTGGATGTAGCTGTCACAAATCTTTCTCAACCTGTTATTTTATTTATGCTTTCTTGCTCAAGCTTAGGACTAAACTATACCCGTATTTACAGCAAGGGTATAGATTGCAAACCTCTCCTTCCTTGGGAAGACATGCTCAGGAAATAATCTGGGGGGAGGGGTCCATCTCTCAACTGTTGCTTTCCGTAGGAATTTTTCTTACAGAAAACTAGTAGACCTTGAAGTAATCCAACCTCAGAACGTCTCTTTGAAGTGTTCTAAGCCTGAAACAAAATATATATGCTCCAAGGTCTTTGTTTTGAGGTCAGACCAAAATAAGCTATTTTGCTTCAAGCTCGGGATAAAATTTAGCTGCTTCGACCGCTCTGATTATTCCCAAGGTCTGCATGTGGTTGAGCTGCTATTTTAGGGGTTGTGATTGGGATGCTAGCTAATTTGTGATTGTGATTGGGTTGCAGGGCTAATCAAATCCCTGGTGCTCTCAGTTTAAATTGGATGGGGTAATATAGGAGCGAAATCTGGAGAGGAAGGCGATAGCGAAGCTGATGGTGAAGCAGAAAGAGAAGGCTGCATCCAACAGCAAGACATTGCTGTTATCTAGGGTTCACCTGGGAAACACTACCTGGAATGTAGGTAGTGAAAAGGATACAGGTGTCCATGGAAACATCTGTGCTTCGTAGTTTTGGTAATGCTACTTAGATTGCAAAACGCAAAGGCTACAATATAGGGTTGGTTTGGTTGGCACTGGTGTGCATATGTGTGCACATTCACTTTTGTGAACTATTGATGTTGAGCTTCCAGATGCATTTAAAAATCCAAAGAAGCTGCATTGTTCAAGTATGGCGCGTTGCCCTGCGTACATGCTTTTGGGTCTTGTAGCTTCAATATTAATGTGATTCATGCAATTCGGAAGCTCCATAGCCATCAGTTGCTCTTACTGAGGCTGTGCTTGGCAGACAGATTGCAAAAAGGGAGCATGCTAAACGGTAGCTTAATCTTGTTAAATAGGCTAGGGTGGCAGTGCCTGCAGAAGAATTGGCTAAGAGGATTTCAAAAAGAAAACATTAAGAAAATTTCATTGGAAAAGTGTGATGTACAATGTCTGCCTTTCTGGCTGGATTTGTTTGTCTTCAGGCAGTAATGGTATCACTAGATTGGAAAGTTAAAACAATTATCTATTTTATCTTGTCAAAGTGTTGGCTCAGAGTCCCAAGATCTGAGGAGGAAAAAGAGAGAAGTATCTGATAACAGATTTTAAATTAAACTCAGGGATTTTCTAGGGGTGAAAGCAGAGTTGTGCCTGTGAGGATTTGTTTTGATTTTTAAAAATGTTCTTTTGCCTGTTTGCTACATTCTGTAAATTGACTGGCTGGCTGGCTGGCTGGCTGGTAGTGTATATCATAGAACTTAGAATCATAGCAGTGGAAGGGACCTCAGAGGTCTTCTAGTCCAACCTCCTGCTCAAGGTAGGAGACCTTATCAAGTGGTTGTCTTGTCTATTCCTGAAAACCTCTGGTGATGAAGCACTCACAACTCTGGGAGGCAAACTGTGCCATTGATTAATTGTTCTCACAGTCAGGAAATTTCTCCTTAATTTTAGGTTGGTTCTTTAGTTAACAAGCTTCCACCCATTACTTCTTGTCCTGCCTCCTGGTGCTTGGAAAAATAAGTCAATCCTCTCTTCTCTGTGACAGCCCCTCAAGTATGGGAAGACAGCTATCCCTAATCTTTCTTTTTTGATAGGCTAGATACACCTAGCTCCATTAATCTTTCATCATAAAATTTAGTCTCCAGACTCCTTATCATCTTTCTCACTCTTCTCTGCAGAGTTTCTAGGGCAGGGGTGTCAAACTGCCGGCCCACGGGCCAGTTTCATCATACCAGAGCCGCACCCACCCCATTGCCAGCAATGGCTAAAAAGTTCCGATACGTTGCGCGACGTCACGTGATGTCTCGAGTTTGACATGTCTGTTCTAGGGTCTCAGCATCTTTTTTGTATCGTGGTGATACAAACTGGATGCAGTATTCCAAGAGTGGCCTCACTAGTGAAGTATAAATTGGTATTATCACTTTTTGTGATCTTGATGCAGCTATCTTTTTTTGCAGCTGCAGCACACTGCTGCCTCATAATTTAGTGGTTGTCCATTAGGACACTTAGCTCTCTCACACAGTTATTATTGTTGAGCCAGGTTCTGCCTGTTCTAAACCTATGCATTTGGTTCTCCTGCCTAAGTGAGGAGCTTTCTTTTCTCACCACTGAACTGCATCTCATTGTATAGGCCCAGTGCTCAAGTCTGTCAACATCCTTCTGAATCATGAATCTATTTTCTAAAGTGTTAGCTATTCCCCTAGCTTGGAGTTGTCTGCAAATTTGATGAGTTCCTTTCTATCCCCTCATTTAGATCATTATGAAAATATTGAAGAGTACTGCGCCCAAGACAGAACCTTGAGATGTCCCATTGCATGCTTCCCTCCATGTAGATGTAATTCCATTGAGAACTACATGCTTGTGCAGTTGGTCAGCCAACTGTGAATCTCTCTGGTGATGGTGGTATAGTCTATTCCACATTGTTCTATCTTATCAAGACATAGACTGTGGTCTACTTCGTCAAATGTCTTATTGAAGGCCATGTAGAATCTAGAATAGAATAGAGCTGGAAGGAACCTTGGAGGTTTCTAGTGCAGCTCCCTGCTCAAGCAGGAGAACTGATACCACTTCAGATAAGTGACTGTCTAGTCTCTTCTTAAAAACCTCCAGTGATGGAGTGCCCACAATTTCTGAAAGCAAGCTGTTCCACTGGTTAATTGTCCTCACTGTTAGGAAGTTTCTAAGTATATTATGTCCACAATATTTCCCTGATCTACTAATTTAGTCACTTTATTAAAGAAAGCAAATAAATTTGTTTGGCATTATCTGTTTCTAACAAACCCATTCTGGAAAACCTTGTTCATTTCGAAGTGCTCGCAAATCCACTGTTTGATTATCTTTTCCTGGATTTTCTCAGGTATTGATGTCAAGCTGACTGACCAATAATTTCCTAGATCCATTTCCCCCCTTTTTCTAGACTGGAACTATATCAGCTCTTTTCCAGTATTCTGGTAGCTCCCCTGTGCTACAGGAACTTTGAAAGATTACATTCAGTGGCTCCAAATTACTTCCGCCAGCTCCTCCAGAACCCTGGGATGTAAACTATCTAATCCAAGTGATTTGTAGTCATCCAGAGTGGATAGGTAATCTCTATCCACCTATCTCTTCCTTCAGGATCAGAAGACATGGAGAAATCTGGCCCATAGAATTGCCAAGAGTCACACAATTGAATGGATATCATCATCATCACTAATTCTTTGCAATTTTGACTTGT